CAGTCTAGCCTGTTGGGGCACCATGCCCTGTCTCCATTGTCCACCCTCATCATTCCCTGAACCCCAGCTCACTTAAAGCACAGGATTGTGTCTGTCAACTAGTCCCTTGGCGGCACACTGGATTAAGAAGTGGACTGCGGTTGAAATCCACTAGTTACTCCCTCTAAGAGGAAAGATGAGGCTATCTGATTCCTAGAATATTGCCATTCCTGTTTTTTTTTATGGTTGCTATTGACTTAGTAAGTTTTTCTCCATCCTTTGGATTTCAAAAGTCTATTTTTGACTTTTGAGTTTAAGGTGTGACTTTTGTAGGTAGCATATAGATGGGTCTTGTATTCTAATCCAGTATGCTACTCATTGTCTCTTGATTGGTATATTTAATACATTGACAATCAGTGTTGTCATTGGTCTGTGAAGGTTTGTTGCTGTGATCTTGCTGTGTGTGTATTCTTTGTATGAGTGCGTGTGTGTGGGGGGGGGTATGTTCTTCCTCTATTTCTGTGTTGTTTTAAGTGCTGCTTTTATTGTATTGGTTTTGGATGGTGTTGTCCTGTATGTTACTCTGAGGTTTGTCAGCTACTGTTGTTTATTCTCTGTCCATAGTGAGCTCATTCAAATTTTTTGTAATGTTGGTCTTCTATAAATCCAAAAATCCCTTTAATTTTTCCTTCTCTGGAAATACCTTTATTTTCCTTTCATATTTGAGGGATAATTTTGTTGCACATAGGAGTCTTGATTGGCAGGGTTTTTTCCTTTCAGAATTTTGTACATGTCATTCCAGTGTCTTCTTGCCTGAATAGTTTCTGCTGAAAAGTTCGAGCTTATCCTTATTGGTTTTACTTTTAGGCGCCAGTTCTTTTTACCCTACCTGCCCTCAAGATTCTGTCCTTGCCCATGAAACTGGAGAGTTTGACTACAATACACCATAGTGTTTTTCTTTGGTGATTGCAAGGGTTGTAGAATACTTAAAGTGGTTCTTCTGTTTTTGTTTTTTTTTGTTTTAAAGTGGCTTTTCTGGTCAAAGTCTCTAACTCTCACCAAATGATCTTTCCCTGCATGGCTCTTCTAAGAAGGTGAGGGAAGATACTGACAGGATTCACCTATAAATAATTGTGAACCAGATTCTCTGGAGAGGCAGCCATCCTGCTGTGTATAAAATGAGCCCTCTGAGAAGCAAGAGGAGGGAGCTCAGTATCAGCAAGAGCCAGAGGTAGAGCGCATCCTCGGGACCTGAGAGTCCTGTGCAGTGAACCTCAGTGGCAGGATAAGGAGAACCGGGAGCAAGAGTGTGGAGCAGAGGGATGGACTTCCCAACCAACAGAGCAAGTAGAGATCAAGGGGCTGGCTGGTAAAGTGGGGTGCCTCTGGGCATTTAATTGGGAAATATGGACGTGCTGACACAGAAAGGGAGCTGACTGCCTTCAGGCTACGGCTTGCTGAACATGAATTCAGGGAACTGGGTTTGCTGACCTTCAGAGCTTTAAGCTGAAGGCCTTAGAGTCGGATAGGTTTCAACTTAATGCCAATACGGTTCAGGCATTCAAGAAGTTGTAATATTGTACTTGGCACAGGTGTGAGTACTATCTTTTTGAAGCTAGAGCTCACAAAGGAAGAGATTTACATTACCTTTATTTATCATTGTAGCTTACCTTTATTTAAAGCAAACATTGGCACAGCATCACCCAAATTTTCTAATTTTCGAAAAATCATGAGACCAGCCTATATGGCAGAAAAATGAAAAGGAATTGCTAAAGACAGACAAACTGAAACTCCCAGCCCAATCTTCCAAAAGATCTAAAACTGTGATTCCCAAAGACCCAAAGGGAGAAGCTCACCCATCATGATAGACAAAGACCCATGATAGAGCTTCAAAAAGTTTGTGTAAAAATGGAATTAAGAAATAATGAAATTTTTCCACAAACTTTTTATGTTTCCTTGTAACTATCTTCATTTAATCAGCACATCAATTGTGAGAAGTGAAACAATAAGCTATTTAAACCTTAAGATAAAAGTCTATAAATTTTCACTTTTTACCAAGCAATATTATAAAGAAAACATCCAAATCAGTAACTTGTAAATAGAATCTAAGACATGGAAATCTGCTTCACTGAAGATCACCCCAAAAAACCCAAACTCATTGTCACCTAATTGATTCTGACTCTTATTGAGGCTATCGGACAGAGTAGAACTACTCTAGGGTTTTTGAAACTATTAATCTTTTTGAGAGAAAATAGCCTCAGCTTCCCCCTTCAAAGTAGCTGGTGGTTTCAAACCACTAACCTTCAGATTGGCAGCCAGGCGGGGCCAGTAGGGCTCCTTCTTTAGAAATCCTATAGGCAGTTCTACTCTATCTATACAATTACTGAGTCAGAATCAATGGGTAGCAAGATACTATCAAGTAAATGAAATAGGTACTTCCCCTTATTTCCTAAGATCAGTTCGGAATGTTAGTCAATAAATGAACAGTTATCCTCCTGTGTACTGCTTAGAGGAACTATCGATTTATATTGACTTTTCATTTAAAAAAAAAATCGTACAGGACCCACACTAGTTATTTTTCCCCCTGTGCATTTACTTAGTGAATTTATTTATTTTTAAATCATTTTATTGGGGCTCGTATGACTCATCACAATCCATACATTCATCCATGTGTCAAGCACATTCATCCATTTGCTGCCATCATCATTCCCAAAACATTTTCTTTCTACTTGAGCCCTTCGTATCAGCTCATTTTTCCCCTCACGAACCCTTGATAATTTATAAATTATTATTATTTTGTCATGTCTTACACTGCCCGACATCTCCCTTCACCCACGAGTTATTAACTTAACTCTTGTAGCTTTTTTTAAACAGAACATAAATGATAAGTATTACTCTGCTTTTCTGACAAAAATAATTTTTCCAGTTGCAACCCAAGGGATTTCCTAGTCCTAAAATTAAATGCAAAATGTGAAACAATATAGTCATCAACAAATTTATGAATTAAGAGAAAAGAAACCCACTGACGCATGAAATATTTTTTGTTTTGTTTTGTTTTTTTGAAATATTTCTTAATGAAAAACATCCAACAGTGCTATATATAAAAACAAATATTACTTTTCAGAATTAAATTAAATATGAAAATGCACATAACAGCAGTGACAAGCTACCTTTCATGACCAGTTTTCAAAATTTTCTCCATATTTTAAGAGTAATTATAGGCAGTACGGCAAGATTCTATATAGAAACTATCTTGTAATTATTTTTATTCATAAGTTCCTTAAAAATCAAACACATCATTGATGCCATTTATGCTTGCTCAGCCTGGATTTACTATTAGCCCTTCATGTTTCTGTGGAGTTAACATTTCTTACATACAAAATTTGGGCCACATGAAGATGAAAATAACTAACACTGAATACTCTCATTGGTATTTGCTAGTGAACACAGAATGAACAATGTCACTAAATGTCTTAGTGACACTAATTTAAAATGTTAATGAATTTGTACCACTAATAAACTTTCTCTTAAGGAATGGACAATAATGTTCAAACAACACATCACAGACTGAAGATCTTTAGGTACATACATAAGCATCAGTGGCCGCATACAGTTGTTGGTCCGCAGTGAGAGGAAAGTTACTCCAATTGCTACAACGGATAGTCTTATCTTTCAGAAGCTGCTTACTTAAGACATGCTTAACCAGACCATTGAGGCTCCAGGTCTCTGTACTTTTCAGCTGGAAGTAAAGAGGAAAAAGGTAAAATCAACATGGCAAAAACTACTATTTTCAGCCATTCCAAAACCAAACAAAATGAAAACCACTGGTATTGAGTCTATTCTAATTCAAAACAACTCTACAGACAGAGTAAACTGTCTCTGTGTTCCGTAAGCTGTAAATCCTTCCAGGAACAGGAAGTCTCAGCATTCTCCCAGAGCAGATCCTGAGTCTGAATTCCTGCCCTTACAGTTAACAGCCCAATGATTGCACACTATGCCACCCAGAGCTTCTTCCAATGATCCACTAAACTGCCAAATAACTTCACCACAAAAAAACTGGAAATATTATAGCAAAATTTGTCCCAGCGATATTCCTCAATACATTTACTGTCACTGAAAAACCTTATTCACAGTCCACAATGTAGGATTTAGTTCTGGAATTTCCCCAAATTAAGTATTAAAGTTCTGGAACTAATAAGTATTGCTCATGGAAAAAAATTGAATAATTGATATGCTTTCTACTTCGAAGCCAAATGAATACTTGGCTAAATATGGGGATTTAATTTAATGGCTACATTAATAAAATATGTGAAATAGGGGTGATGGAACTGATGGGTCAATCTTCTGCTAAAATCACTACACCACAAAACCTCTATTATGCTCTCCCTAAAAACAAAAATAAAGCAAATAAAATAAATGTTAGTTATTACAAATACAAATGGATTATAGGGATAAATTTCAAGCATAATATTTAAAATATGCAGACATGTGAAACCAAATACAATAGTACAAAAATTGAGGGAGGGAAGTAATTAAATTGTATGCCAAAACAAAAACAATAGATCAAAACCAAAAGTTTTGAGTATGAAACACTCATTTGGAACTTCTTTTGTGTTACAAAAAAGCACAAGTTTTTCCGGGTTTTTAAAATCTAACATTCCTGTGGTTATATAATCTCCTGTCAACTTGAGGATATGAAGAGTGAAGGGGTGGAGTCTAGCCTGTCAATCAGATCTCAGTCTGATGCCTCCTTGTGGACATAGCTCTCTCATGAGAATTCTGGGAACCTCCTCTCTTCCTCCCTGGAAGCAGGGCACACTCTGCCTTCATTCTCCTGTGGACAAGCCATGCGGAGCTTCACTGAAACCTGAGCGAGCCATGCAGCAGAGGCCTGTGGAGACAGCCCTGTGGTCCCTCTACTACCATTGGATTTACCAGAGTTTTCACCCACTGGCCTGTGATCTTCCTGTATTCGGCATCATTGCATGTGTTGCATGAGTCTAAAGAGGAATTTATAGACTACTAACAGACATATGGACTAATACCAGACTTAAGAATTTGGTATAGACTGGGCTGGGACGTTTTCTCAGTATGCAATTGCTCTATAATATAAAGCTCTCTCTTACGCACAGGAGTGTCTCTGGATTTGCTTCTCTAGCCAACCCAGCCTAACACAATTTGGATAAAAGAAACAACCTATGAAACAAGATTATTTATAGGGAAAAAAGTGTACTTCTACCTTTTCATTGGCAACATCTGTAAGTTCCACAAAACTCTTCAGCTTGATGTCAAAGTCACGTAGAAGTTTCCATTGATCTCCTTCAATTCCTACGCCTACCTTTTTAATTGCTTCATTTTCAAGTAACAATTTCAATCCCTGTGGAAAAACTGTTAAGATTTTTGTTTTTCCAACAAGTTCAATCAAGTATAATGGATTTACTTTCGGTTTCTTGCACATATGAGTTTATATTTAAATATCTGTTGGTATGAAATTTAAAATAAGAAACATATTAGCCTTGAGGATTTTTTCCCTAACATCCCAATGTTAGGATTAAATTAGGAAATATTCTAATTTATAAATGACAAGAAACAATATAAATGTAACCAAGAAACAGTAACAAACTAGCAGTGAGTTCCTCGAAAGTTTAGTTTGCTCCTCTCTAAACCAGGGATAATATCAATCTCACATTGCTGACAGAAATGTTGTGAAAATTAAAAAGAACAATATATGTGAATACCCCAAATGGAATCATAAAATTTAAATAAACAGAAGGTGATGAGAGAAGTGTCTGCAATCATCAATTTTTTTTTTCTTATATGGGAAAAGTTGAAAGATATAATCATATAAATCTAAAGCAAAGAAAAGCGATACCAACCTGACATAGAAGAAATATGAAACAAGTAACATTTGCTCTCTGACACACATATCTGAATTACAGCAACTCTTCCTAGTTTCCCTTTACTGTACACTGGAGGCCATTCCATGTCAAAACCGATCACATCTCCATCAGACAGACTCATGCTAAAGGAAGAAAAACAGTCTAAATTAATTAAAATACATTAAAATTTTAAACTTCTGAACAATAGTTTTGTTTACACCAAACCAAACATATTACCATTAAATCAATTCCAACACATAGTGACCATATATAGGGTTTTGTGACCTTTATGGGAACCATCTAATCTTTCTCCCAGAGTAGCTGCTGGGTTTGAACCACCTACATTGTGGTTAGCAGCAGCCAGGGCACTTCAGCTGAACTGATCTAGGAAAGAATGTCTGCCTTGAACATTGTGATTTTTTTAAAGAACTATACACATGGGCTCAAACTGGCAATAGTAGCTAAAAAGATTAGATAAAGAACTTCAGATGCAGTGAACTGATATTAATGGTGGAGAAAGAATTTAGAAAAAGAAGGTGAGAATGGTTGCAAACTTGGACAATGTAAGCTGTCACTGAATTGTACCTACAGAAATTGTTGGATTGGTATATGTTCTACTGTGTATATGCTCAACAAAAAAATCATTTTAAAACCATTTGGACTGCCGTATAACTGACCTTCAAAAAGATGAAAAGCAAGTCTAAGTCTGGAAGAAGATATTTTTGATATATATAATAAATATTCTTTTAAAAATCAGTTAAAAGACAAACAGCACTGTAGAAAAATAGAAAGAACATGAACAGGAAATTCAAAATGTAAATCTCAAAATGGTCAATAAAACGACATAAATATACAAAGAAACTAACTCACTAGACACCAGAAAACTAGAAACAAATGCATACCATTTCACAGCTATGAGATCAGCAAAAATTAGTCTCTCGACAGACACAAATTATTAATATAGCTATCAAACTCTAAAATATCAATACCAAGTACTGAAAAGGATATTAGTAGGATCTCTCACATGTTGAAATATAAATTAGTAAAGTGTTTTTGGAAAAACACTGAACCTATCTAGAAAAACACTATGACCCAGCAATTTTTTCTCACAAGTGTATACAACTCTCTATGTGCTATACAAAGGCAAGCATACTTAGTAATGGTCATTGTAACATTGTCCCAATGGGCATGAAAATAAGGGGGAAAAAACTAAATTTTCATCAACAATGGTGGTGTACTACAACATGCAACAATGGAGTATTTGCAAAAGTTTGGAAAAAACCCGATACATATAAATATCGATAAGAAAACCTTTCAGAAACATATTGTTGAATGAAAAAGACAAGTTTCAGAATGATATGTAGTTTTTATAGCATTTTTGTAAGTGTTTAAATGGGCAAAATAATATATATTTCTGTATGTAAAATTATGATGAACTATTATAAAAATCATGTGAGGGAATGTTGAACACCTAACACTTGATAGAACACTTATTTCAAAGGCTTAGAAAGGGAGATCAGAAAGGGTATACTTGGAGCTACAGCTATTATTTTACTATTTTATTCTTAATGAAAGATTTTTTAAAAATACTTTTATTGGGGGCTCTTGTATCTCATCACAATCCATACATTCCTCCAACGTGTGAAACACATTTGCACATACGCCACCATCATCATTTTCAAATCATTCTCTTCCCACTTGAGCCCGATATCAGCTCCCCATTTTTAACCTCTCCCTCCTCCGCCCTCCCTCCCTCATGAACCCTTGATAAGTTATAGATTATTTTTTCCATATCTGACATCATCCTCCATCACCGCTCACCCACTTTTCCGTTATTCTTCCCCCTGGGAGGGAGTTCAAGGTTGATCCTTGTAATCAATTCTCCCTTTCTCCCCCGCACCCTTCCCTAATGTTCCTGGTATCTCTACTCTCCTTGTTGGCCCTGAGGGGTTTATCTATCCTGGAGTCCCTGTGTTTCAGGCTGTTACCTGTAGCAGTGTGCATGCTTGGGTCTAATCCAATTTGTAAGGTAGAATTGAGGTCATAATAATGGGGTGAAGGAAGCACCAAGGAGCTAGAGGAAAGTTGTGTGTTTCATTGGTGCTATACTGCACTCTGACTGGCTCATCTCTTCCCTGTGACCCCTCTGTGAGGGGATGTCCAATTGTCTACAGATGGGCATTAGGTCTCCACTCCATGTGCCCTCCCCCCATTCACCTTGGGTTTGGTTTTATTCTGGGTCTCAGATGCCTGATCCCTGATCCCATCAACACCTCATGATCACACAGGCTGATGTGCTTCTTCCATGTGGGCTCTGTTGCTTCTCAGCTAGATGGCCGCTTGCTTATCTTCAAGCCTTTAAGACCCCAGACGCTATATATTTTGATAGCCAGGCACCATCGGTTTTCTTCACCACATTTGCTTACGCACCCATTTTGTCTTCATCGGTGTCAGGAAGGTGAGCATCACAGAATGCCAGATTGTTAGAACAAAGTATTCTTGTGTTAAAGGAGTACTTGAGTTGAGGCCCAATGTCCATCTGTAACCCTAATTCTTAACACATAGATATGAGTCCATAGTTCTATTCTCCTCTCTTTATATATATATTTATATATGTACATGCCTGTATTTAGGCCTCTATAAATGTCCTTTGCCTCCTGGTCTTAATGAAAGATTTTTAAGGATATTTGATAAAGCTAGGTATGTTTTTAATTGCTTTATTTATTATCTATTATTACTTATATTCTCTTAGTTTACTATTTTAAAATGTTTTTAAAATAAAAGACACTCAATTTCTGTTGTAGACCACAAAGGAGTAATGGGAACTAACCTAATATTTCTGCCATAAACAGAAAATTGAACAAACTATATAGAACTAAACTATTCAAAAAACAGACCTGCCCAAATGATGCTCTACAGTAACACTCAAAAAATCCAAAGACACCAATTTTAAAAAACCTGGGAAGGGATAATGTAGGTGCTGTATACCTATAAAAAGCTGAATTGACCGAAAAAGAAAAAGTCTGTTTAAACACCACCAAAATGCTCATGGGATTTGGTTTAGGGATTCCTTCATGGGACACCCAGTAAATGGATCTAATGTGTTCAGTACTTCTATTCTACCTCCTAGTTCATTGTAATAGTGCCTGGGGTCTCAAAGTTAGTAAGTGGCCATTCAAGGTACAATAATTGGTATCCATTTATCTAGGAGTAACAAAGGAAGAGTCAGAAATGGCTCACTGCTCAGAAGCAACAAAGCCCACATGGAACAACATATCAACCTGTGTGATCACGAGGTGTCGAACGGATCACTGAAGACAAATGGGTGCATAAGCAAATGTGGCGAAGAAAGCTGATGGTGCCCGGCTATCAAAAAGTATAGCGTCTGGGGTCTTAAAGGCTTGAAGGTAATCAAGCTCAGAAACAACAAAGCCCACATGGAAGAAGCACACAAGCCTATGCAACCATGAGGTGTCGACGGGATCAGGTATAAGGCATCATCAGAACAAAAAATCTTACCATAGTGAATGATGGGGGGAGTGCAGAGTGGAGATCCAAAGCCCATTAGTAGGCCACTGGAGATCCCCTTGCAGAGGGGTCTCGAGGAGGAGATGAGCCTATCAGGGTGCGATGTAACAATGATGAGAAATACAACCTTCCTCTAGTTCCTAAATGTTTCCTCCCCGCTCCCACTATCATGACTCGAATTCTATCTTGCAAGTCTAGCTAGACCAGAGGAGGTACACTGGTACAGATAGGAACTGAAAATACAGGGAATCCAGGGCAGATGAGCCCTATAGGACCAGTGGTGTGAGTGGCAAAACAGGGAGGGTAAAGGGAGAATGAGTAGGAAAGAGGGAACCGATTACATGGAACTGTGTGTGACCTCCTCCCTGGGGGACAGACAACCGAAAAGTGGGTGAAGGGAGACGTCGGACAGGGCAAGATATGACAAAATACCCATTTATAAACTATCAAGGGCTCATGAGGGAGGGGGGTGCGGGGAGGGAGGGAAAAAATGAGGACCTAATGTCAGGGGTTTAAGTGGAGAGAAAATGTTTTGAGAAACGATATACAAATGCGCTTTACACAATTGATGTGTGTATGGATTGAGATAACAGTTGTATGAGCCCCTAATAAAATGTTAAAAAAAAAAAAAAGAAATGGCTCACTGTCCCCAAGTTGATTTCAACTCGTAGCAATCCTACTGGACAAGGTGGAACCACCCCTGTGCATTTCCAAGACAGTAATCCTTTACGGGAATAGAAGGCCTCATCTTTCTCCTCAGGGCTGTCTGGTGGTTTTAAACTTCTGAACTTTTGGTAGCAGGAGAAGGAAATTAAATGTGTGACTGGCTACTTGCCTTCATGAACAACTGGATGGTAATTCATCTATTATTGCTGTCATCAAAAATTCTATAGAAAATTCATGATAAAAGGTGGGAATTCAGAACAGATTTACAGATTTTCAATTTTTCATGAAATCCAGATTTTTGTCAAGCCATAGAGCTAGATGTACCATAAAACTAGTACCTTAAGATAATCTTAAACCTCAAGTTTGAAATATTAAAGCAAAAATATAGCCTGATGTCTTCTTAAAACAAAATGATATTTAACAAGTAAAGTATCTTTTAAGATTTATCTGTGTAGGATCAAACTGAGAAGAGTAACTCAAAAGCAGAGCAAGTTGGTGAAATAAGTGGTTCCATAGCTTTACAGATAACATGCTGAAAGTAAAAACAAACAAACAAACAAAAAAAAAACCTCATAAAATTGAATGGCTTGAGAGAGTAAGTGGGCACATTCCAAATTTAATGCAGTGATTATTAAAAAAGGAGATCAGACGTTATCTCTTATTCTAGAAATAGGAGGCACAGAAGGGGGCGTGGGAAATGAAAGTCAACATCAATTGGTAGGGAGGAAGTAAAGGTCCCAAAGGTGAATCTGTCCATGATTGCACAATCTTTCTTGATATGATTGAACTACTGAATTGTATACTAGCTATAACTCAAAAATATTTTTTAAAGAAAAATATATCTATGGACATCTCAACTGTAAAATTCAATATACTTAACACATTAATTACAATAATAGTTACTGTGTTTGAAGCATCCTAGTGTAAATGACATTAATTGAAATCTCTTACCAAATATCCTCTGATAGGAAAGAGCAATCACTAGCTTCATAACTGTATATAATAGTTCCAGTAAATTCTAAGAAGGGTAGTTCATCTTCAAAAACACTCTTCTGAATAGATGACTAGGAAAAAATAATAATAATAAATAAATAGATGACTAGAGTTAAATAAAATTCAAAAAAAAGAGCAAATAAAGTTCTGATTAAACATATGCTAAAACAGTGGTTCTCAACCTTCCTAATGCCGCGGCCCTTTAATACAGTTCATGTTGTGATGACCCCCAACCATAAAATTATTTTTGTTGCTACTTCATAACTGTAATTTTGCTAGTTATGAATCGGGCAACCCTGTGAAAGGGTCATTCGACCCCCCCAAAGGGGTCACAACCCACAGGTTGAGAACTGCTGTATTAAAACATTCAAATTACAATTCAAAAACTTTATCCCTTAATGCTTTATAAACTAGTAAATTCATACAATGTGACATATATAAAATCATTCCATTATAAAATTATTTTTCTTGACAAGTTTAGTCTCAAACTTCTAATCCTATTTACATAAAAAGCACTTCTTTTACTAACTTGTTTTTTAATAAAGATACCAACACTAGTATTGTAGATGTAAAGCTGCCTTAAAATACTGACCACTGGTTTTGTTCTTGTAGGTAAAGTCAGTCCCACGTGTAACTACTCTGCAGAGCAGAATGCACTATATTGCTCAGTCCATGCGTTATCCTCATAATCGGGGATGTGTTGGGCCTACTGTTGTAACCAATCACTGTTGTCAGTCCATCTCAATGAGTTTCTTTCTCTTCCTCAATGCCCCTCTCTTTTACCTAACATGACCCTCCAGTTTACCAAGCATAATATCCTTCTTCATAGACTGGTCTCTGTATGCAAGATGAAGTGCTACATCATCTGTGCTACTAAGGAACATTCCACATATACTTCTTTCAAGATAGATTCCAGCAGCCCATGGGTATACGATATTCTTTGCCAATACCACAATTCCAATGTAGCAATTTCTCTTGTCTTCCTTGTTCACCATCCAGCTTTCACATGTGTATTAGGCATGAAGCAACTGAAAGTACTATGGCTTGGGTCAGGCACACAGATGACTTGTGCAGCAGATAAGCTCATTGAAATGTGACATTTGATTTGACTGCTTCTTCCACAAGCACTGATTATGAATAAGCAAAATGAAACTTCAATCGTTTCTCCATTGATCACGATGTTGTTTGTTGGCCTGTGTGAGGATTTTTTGTTTTCTTGATGTTGAGGGGTAATCATGGGTGACCTTCTAGTATGTGAAACATTGGCTGCTTATCTTCCAACAACACAAAAGCCACCATAGGACAAATTGACAGGCAAGTAAGTGGTGGGGAGATTGGTTGGCAAATCTTAAGTCTTTAAGAATTTAAACTGGATTAGTTATTAAATTCTTGAATGTGAGACTTTGTCTAAATGATTACCTGAACTGAAGAAACAAGTTTAGACCAAACTTATAAATTGAATAGAAAAGGAAAGTAGTATATAGTTAAAAATTGTATTTGAAAAAGCCAACTAAAATGTATGTCATAAGGGAACCTCAAATGAGCATTCCTTCTAACCCATAAAAGGAGAAAACTAGAAAAATTAAATTTCTATAAAGGTTGGCAAATATGCAAAGCATTTTTAAGGTCACAGGGATACACTTCACGAAAATGGGCAAATAAGCAGAGTGTTTGCCATATACTCGTCTGAGATGAAATATTAAAAAAATCTTACCCATCAAAAAGAGTCAACTTTCATGTCACATAGATCTACACAGTATCTTTATTTTCAAACTAACAAAGGTCATCACACACACAGTGTTAGAACAAAAAAAATGTATACAACATTTAAATCAACATTTACTCAATGACTAGATTCTGGTTCACTCATACAGCTCTAGCCTAAATAATAACATGATGTTTACAAGTGAAGGTTGACTTCGTATAGAGTCAAAGCTAAATGAATTTCCCCATCTGAAAGATTACCTGATAAACAACCTACCTTTCTTTCTTCCACAGCACATATCTTATTCTGCCCAGACATCCATTCAGGAAGTTTCCGTTGTGGTGAAGTAATTTCCAAGTTTTTGTCATTCATCCTAAAAATGTCCTAGTTGCAAGATCCAAAAGTAGCTTGGTTGGTAAATACAACACAATCTGTGGACGAAAAATCGCAGACAGCCTGTCTACATGGTTGAAGACGCACACATACGTATTTAAATAAGTCCTTTATCTCCCTCACTTTGGCCACATTATCAGGGAAGACCAATCACGAGAAAGGTCATTTTTGGTATAAAGGATCAGCAAAACTAAGGGACACCTCTATGAGACAGATTGACACAATAGCCAAAACAATGAACTCCAAATAGAAGGGTCAAGAAGATGGCACCAGGCAACATTTCTACTGTTGTATAATAGGTCACCATGAGTCTGAGCCAACTCGACGGCAGCTAGCAACAAGTGGCATGTAGTGCAGGTTATAAAAGCTAGAATTGCAAAAGAGAAACATATGGTTAGCTCTAAGAACTATGCTTCCCGCATTTCTTACTTTAAAAACAATTGAGTGAGTTCCAATGTTCTAACATCTTCAAAATTCTTATTCGACAACTTGATTCCTTCAAAGAATTACCTTATCAGGTTAAAAGTGAAAATCTTAGTGTATACACTGCTGTAAAGTTTCCAATGTCTTTTAATTTCCTGTATGCTTATCATCTGTCCCAAGATCTAAGCAAACTCTAGCAACGTTTAGATTTGTTCATAAATCTACTTGAAGGGTAATTTTGAAGACAGGTAACAGCTTTTCTTTATTAAGAAATTTTATTACACTCTTGGCCTAGTAAGTGAAAAAGGTTCCCTAAGGATATAACAGTTTCTTAAAGGCTATTAAAAAGGAAATAAAAGTGACCAGTTATTAGCTTTTAGGGCCTTCATCAATGTAAACCAAACTTCAAGTATGGCTATAGAAAACTGCCTGAATAAGAGATTCACGGCATGCTTTTTGTTAATGGTAATACGGTCCTATACCTTCATATGCCCTTCATAAGAAGTAGCCTCAACTTCTTAATGTTTCAAACCTCAACCTTAATTTCTAGTTATTCGAATTTCTTGCAAGAGATGTAATTTAGAATACAACTGAAGAGATCTTAAAACATGTTTTGCTTTTCTGTTGGTTTTGTCTGTTTGTTGCAGGGCCCACCTTGGGTTTATTTGTACAACAGCACAGGAGAGCACCCACTCCACACAAATGGCAGCCCAGGGTTCACACAATCCCTCTCACCCTCAGACGAGAACTTTTCTTTGTGGGAGCCTGGGCCTCTTTGGGAGCTTGACCTGGAGCCTGGGCAGGTTTGGGAGCTAGAGGTGGAATCGGGGCCTAGGCTGGAGCGTCAGCCTTGCTTTGCACCTTGGCCTTAGGCAGGCAGATCCGCAGATCCTTGGCAATATGTGTCTGAGCCCGCTTGCCAAGCACAAGATGGGCAATGTTGACCAGTCAACTGAGCTTATGATTGGGATCTTAGCCTTGACCTCCTTATGTTTCAAAGAGCCTTAATAGGCTCAGCACGAGCATCCTTGGCATCGTTGGCCTACATTTTCTTCAGACCCTTCTTGCAGTGCTTCGTGGCAAAGCACATGTTCCTCAGGATCTTGGGGTCCACCCCTTAAAAGATTCATATCGTTGTGATCAGGGATTTTTTATGCCATTTCTGTGCCATTTGGGGGATTGGTTGTGTGTGGTGTGGTTCTTGGAATTGGCCATGTCTGCACCGACGCCTGTTGCTCCCAGAGCACTTTGTTTTTCATAAAAAAATAATCATAGCTAACGGCTTAAGGACAGCCTGTTACATCTGATACTTAGAAATGTAATCTCTAAAAAACCTAAATAGTATTATTCAATTAAAAACTATTTTAATTGATCATTTTCTCAATCATAAAACAAAATTTAGAGGATTAATATTGATAATTTATGGAATAAAAATTGAAAGATTACTTTAATAAAAAATTTCCATGTAGAACAAACACCAGCATTCTTTTGCATTGAGAAGGAAAACAGGTACTTAACTCTTAGCCAACAGGGTTAAGAAAATAAGTCAGCTACAGTCCCTAGTAGATATGCTAATAGCCTCCCATCGTTGCAGATCTATGAAGAGTATTTAACCAGGAGGAGGGAGGTGGGGTGGCTGGCAAGCTGCAATAGAGACTAACTCCCGGTGCACCTGTACACAAACTCCCCTCTATGGGGTGTCCATGTGGTGACTTTTCAGAAGCAGATCGCCAGGCTTTTCTTCTACAGTGTGTTCACACCACAACCACTGCTGAAACATTTGCACCACCTTGGGCTGTGATCCACAAGGTCAGCAGTTCAGAACCATCTGCCGCCGTGCTGGAGAAAGACGGGCCTTCCTCCTCCCATCAACAGTCTCAGAAACGCCTGGGGCCACTTCTACCCTGTCCTGTGGGATCACAAGTGTGCAGCAAGTTTGGGTTTCCAGACTACTACTAATGGTATTTATGAGCAGAAAAATACCACAGTCTCTATCTAGAAAGTGTTATTAGCAGGATATATATATATATATATATATATATATAGCTGAACTATCTACATTTATTTTTATAAATAAGGTTACATTTAAAGATTTATGAATTTATGGCTAGGAAATGTGGGCTAGTCATGTCAGCTGCATAATTAACAGAATATAAACCAGAATTTCAAAACCAAACAGCTTCCTGTGAACAATGCTCAAAATTAGCCTGTTAATCGATGAAGTAGCCTCCTGGAGAAGAGGGCATTATTTTGAGTCTGTGTCTGACAGTTTGGGGATCCTCCAGAAAAAAGAAGGTTCCATCTGCACTTTGCTGCTACCCTTATTATTTGGATCATTATTAAAGCATCAGCATTTAATAGTTCTGATTAAGACCTATCATCAGAAAGAGGGATCAGACTTCAACCCAGTGCTCCAAGATGTGAATGCAACATGCCGGTGTGGAGTAGAGAACCAGTGTAGACGTCTGGGGTCCGGACCCAATCCCAAATACTAAGTGGACACCTGTCCCTCCCCCCAGAAGAATTTATTTCAAAAGACGGCACTGAATGTGAAGCTCCGGGAGAGGGACACATCTGATCAGAGCACACGGGTGCAGATGAAGTGGGAGGAGGAGAGAGTGGAGCACATTCTGGCCCACCAGGCCTTGAGGACGATGATCCCAATTAGAGAAGTCAATCCACAGAGAGGACCAGCGCCCTACACGGGGCAACACCAGAGACACAGTGTGAGAATTGCACCCGATCTGATCCCGCCACACCAAGGCAAAGCACTGAGGGGGTGCAACAGAGCAGCAAGGGAACAGGGCGGCGAGGTCCCCAGGGAATGCCGAAGGTGGACTTTGGGGCCAGGGCATGGTGCCCCAACAGACTGGACTGGAAAACACTCCTAAAGGCCAACAAATGATCCTTGAATTAACTACAGGTTTTCTTTCTGGTTGGGTTTTGTTTTGTTTTTTATCATTGGTTTGTTGTTTTGTTGTATATTGTTGCTTGGTTTTGCTCTGTCTTGTTTTT